GCTTACAAATCTATGAATGTGTACCTGTGAATCTGGTACACAGGTTTATGAGGGTGGCACCTGAGTAGGAACTGCAGCTGGGAGTTGGATTGATAATTATCTGACATGCTCAAGATAAGTGAAGAGAGATCAGATTAAATTACACCTACACAGACAGAAAAATGTATATGTGAAAATAAATTGCTGTGTGTTTCCTGAAGTATTGTTGGGGTTGCCAAGCCAATGATGTGTAAAGAAATGTCTCCTCAAAGAAAATAAGAGATTCACAACAAAAGTCTATCTGTGATCAGAAAAAGTCACTGCTGTACAGGTGATGTACAGCAATTTGTGGGATTTGGGTTTTTTTTGTTTGTTTGCTTGTTTTTTTTTTAAGGAAATTTTGTTGTTCTCTGTGTTACTGCAACTTATATTGCAATTGTTTTAGCACAGAAGAAGAATGCAAAAGGAAAGATGGCACCAATATTACGTTCGGTATTTCCTACTTAGATCTGGAATCTGAGCTGACGTTGGTGCCTCCAGAGTACAGTGGCATGCCAGGATGCCATTGCATAACTGTTCATGCAACTGTCAGGCATTCTGTGTATTTGCAGTGTGTGGCACTGTTGTGGATCTTGCAGTCTGACCTTCAGCTGATAATTCTGGTGTTGTAGTTCCCCTTTAGGCAGATGCTTTTTGATGATGGCCAAGTCCAAAAAGTTCACTGACAGTGAGTACGTGAGTCTCTGAGTCAGAGCCGGGATAGTGACCTTGGATCAAGGTGGAGGTTTTGCTTGTAACAGATCTCTGCAGTAACCAATATGGTCTCTTGTAATAGAAGTATGTTAATTCTCTGGAATACATATTTAATTTAAGGTTAAATTTAAGTTTAATTTAACACTGGGTTAAATTGGTAAATGAAGCGTAGATATAAATGTCCAGCTTAATTACTTTTGAACTAAAGTATATCTTTCAGAAGACTATCTCCTTCTGCTACGTGTTGGAAGACGGTTTCCCACTCGTGTGCATGTGAGAATTTCTAATAAAGTAAAGACCTCCACATTGTGCACACAGTGTTCTGCAGTTGTCAGATGTCTCTGAGAATACATCCTTTGTAGCTGCACTGACGTACTTTGGGATCACTTCCCGGACGGGTGAAGATCAGATAACTTTTTTTCTGCATGAGGAATTACAGGAATGGCTTGGGAGAGTTACTGGCACTAGATTTAGCTCTTGCCATTGCTACAAAAGTAGTAGAGTTCATTTACAGTGTATGTGGATACAAAGCAGCCACTAGCTGTGGTTGTGTAAGCCAGTCTGAGTATTAGGAGAGCCTGCAGATCCAAATTAGAGGCTTTTTTTTGGTGTATAATGCAGGGTTAATGCTACCAAGAAAAGTTTTTTTGCCTGTTCAGTGTGGAGTTACTTGTGGTGGGCTCAGCCATTGGCCTGGCTTCTCTAAGGGATCTGGACAACTGAAGTACAGCTTTTTTGGCAACTTTGGGTTGGACACAGAAGTTCCAGATATGTGGTCAGGTAGATAAGGTAGATTTTTCTGTTTCTACACAACCTTAATGTGGCTGACAAAGTACCTAGTATCTGTACTGCACTGGCATGCATTGGTCTGAAAGGACTATCCTGCTTATTTTTAGACTTGATCTCTTATAAGGCAAATTCGGAAATCTCTAATATCTATTTCACAGGATGACTGGTTTATTTAAAAAGAAAAGGCAAATTCCCATCAATTGATGAGATGCTAATGAAGTACATATAGAGTAGTGGGCTCTGTAGTTAACTGCCGAGGGGAAACAAATGCATTAGGCAAATCTTTATGAAAAGAAATGGGATCTAGCATTATGCTTTGGGATCTTCCCTTTATGCTTTGAGGTATCTGGGGGACTGAGATGTTCCCAGAGCATGTGATGTGCATTTGTGGTGGCAGAAACATTGCAGCAGAGCTGCAGCATCAGATTTCAAGCTGTTGAAGTGCTAAGGAAAGAGGTTTCAACAAAGAGGGACAATTTCCATTCACTGTGCAGAGAATGGACAGGCACTTCAGCTATGCTTGGCCCTGCTCTGAGTCACGGATTTCATACCTGAACTAGGTATGAGCTCTACCTGAACTAGCCTGCTCTATTTCAGCATCCTTGCTGTAACGCTCCTTAGCACCCTCAAACACTTGACAAGAGACAAATTCTACAATCAGTCCCTTGAAATTCCTAAATAAAAAGTGTTTTAGTCATCTTGCAAAGTACTCTTCAAGATGTGTTTACAATGGAAGAACAGCACTTAGAATTGCTATAAGACAGGTGAGCTGTGTGCACTGCTGTAACTAGCAGTTCCTTCAAGATTAGACTGAGCTTTGGAAAGAGGAGGCACAAAATAAGGACAGAAAAGTATGAGCTATTTGTGCATAACTGGGAGATCTACAGTTACCACTGCCTGCCTGAGTCTGTTACCTTACAGTGCACTACCCACTGTGGACACTTCCATGCTGAGAGCTGGCTGGTTGCGTAGCCTTGGCTCTCCATAATTCCTCTATTATTCCTAATTAGTACATTTCATCAAAGACAACTAAGAATATCCTCCTCAGAGGAGTTGTCCTTTTTAACACAATAGAGACTCAGCACTGCAGTGTGAGCAGTGAAGCAGAGGTGATGAAGGTTGTAAGGGGGTGCTCTTGGTGAGAAGAATTAACCTGGGGTATGAAAAGACTTGGGATCTCTTTTCAAATCTTGCTGAAATTATTAGTGAACTCATAGTTGAAATAGTTAATTGCAACAGTCAAAAAGCTTATGAGGTCATGCTGCTGTGTGTGTGTGTTCCAGATAACTTCTGAACCTGCTGAAACCAAATTTGACGGAGTTTGTGTCTTATTACATGCTAAAGAAAAATCGTGAAAGGCAAAAAGTGTTCTCAGACTCTACAGTTTTGGTGTTCTTGATACTGTGTCTTCTGCCTGCATTATTTGTTATGTATATTGCAGGAGTGCTGTTCAATAAACTGGAGCTCTGGTGACTTACTAGGAAAGCAATCAAAGACTTCTAGAGTCAAGCTCCTCTAAAGCAATTACGTGCTACTGTTAAGCCTGCTAAATTTTTCTGTTTAGTATCTGCGTATTGACTGACTCTGGGGATTCTCTCATGCAGTGATACAGAGCCCGTAAACCTAAAGAGGCACCAGCAGTGCCCAGTATAGCGTCTCCTAACCACAGTGCATATCAGTACTGCTATCTGCTGATTGGCAGCACCACACACTAACGTACCTCTGAGTCAGGCAGCAGCTGATAGGACTAAATCAACAGACTGACCACTGCATATCAACATGGCTGACTTTCACAGCATTCTTCCTCAAGTCACACCAATATGCTGTATTACTTTGTGGGAACTCCAAGGGTAAAAGTGTTATCACTTATGAAAAGCAACACAAAGCAACTTATAGCCTTCTACTGCATGCTCTGCTGCAGTGTGTAGGAAGAAGGGGCAGGGAACAGCTGAACCACTGTTCAAGCAGTAGTTGCTCAGGGATGAACACAAACAGCATCACTGTGCTTGATGGTTTTTGCACACCAATCACTTGGTAATGTTCTGTTCTGTGGTCCTTCTGGAGATACAGCCAAATTGTGAACTGAAGCTAGTTTGCCTGAAAGTTTTAAATCCAAAGAGTGTTCTCCTTATTATCAGATCTCTCACCTTGAGGACTTCTCTTTTATTTTAGTACTAACAGCACTCGGGTGTCATGGGACGTATGGGGTGTCTGCAGCACAAAGGGAACAGTGGACTAAGAGAAATGTGGCTCCATTGAATTCTATGGGAAGTGGAGCTGGAATTTTGACTCAGCATATGAATAGGTCTATCCATATAGTGTACTTCAGAGGCTTTTATTAAAAGCCTGAAGAGTAAGACAAGCCTTGTATTTTAATACCAAGTAGTGCTGTTGAAGCAGTGTGTTCAGAATGGGTATCTACAGTGGATGTAGGAGGTACTTCATTTGCTTTATTCTTCATTCTTACTGCCCCCTTGATGTATGAACCAAGCAAAGAGTGAGAGTGATGGTAGGAAATAAAAGGAGCTGTAAGGTCTGTGCTGTGAAGATCTCTGAAGACTGAGAAAGGTGAAGTGACTGACAGGAGAGCAGCTACAGATCAGACGCAAGGGAGTTTTAACACCCACATGGAATTCTGCATTCTGAAAATGATCAGCCTTGGTTCAGTTTCTAAGCCAGCTTCCTCAATGCTATTGTTGTTTGCTGTTTTGTTCTAGTAAGAAAAAAAAAACCCATGCAACTCAGGAAAACAGCAACAGGGTAATCTACCGTTTGTGGCAGGCTCTTTTCTGGCTTCATCTCTATATTCAATTGTGGCTGTCATTTCGTATTTAATTATTGGATTGATATCAGTAATGCTGAAGTCCGGAAGTCTGGTTTCATGTTAAGCTGTAGGAAGCCTTTTAAAAGAATGGCTCAGTTGTAGACTAGTAAGGTTTACTGAGAGACTGAAAGAGCTATGGGCAATCCTAGGAGCAGAGCTTCCTTCCTTGCAGAAGGTTGTGTGTGCTTGTTGCTTTTGGCAGAGTTCCTTCTTCCCATCTACAAAACTGATGCTTTTGTTATCAATTTTGTTTATTTAAGGCTAGAGAGTACCTAAAGAAAGCCCAGGGTATCTCAGATTCAGCACTGTGGCTCAGGTATCTCTTCGCAAGTAAATAAGCTCATACATATGGGTGACATTTTGTTGAATTTTAGTGATAGCTGTTTATCAACTCAGATTTAGCAAACTGCTATAAGTTTACTTAAAACTTCTATAGGTGTTGTAGAATATTTTAATGATTATGCCATTGTGAAAATAGCAGTAGAGGACATTCAGCATTCTAATAAATGCTTGCAGTGGGAGTAATGATAAAAGGATTTATGATACAGCCTTTTATGAATGAAGGTGAGCTTTCAGGCCCAGCCTATGCCTACGATTATTCGGTGTGTCATGCAGTTGGCATCTGGAGTGACTTTTCCCCTTCATTTCTCAACAGATTTTGGATTTGGAAATTTCTACAAGAGTGGTGAGCCTCTGACGACGTGGTGTGGAAGCCCACCATATGCAGCTCCAGAGGTCTTTGAAGGACAGCAATATGAAGGACCCCAGCTGGATATCTGGGTATTGCTATTTTATTTACTTAATTTTAAGTGGATTCAAGTCAACTTTTGGGTAGCTGGAGTAAATGAATTGTCTTTGAGTTTTCTTAAGCTGCAGACAACTGTTGCTCTTTAGGTTTACTCCTTGATGTAAAAATGCCTCTTAACACCAGATAAAATTAAAGTTACCTATCTACGTGCCTGTTAAGTATGTTGTAAATCTGTGTAAGCATATCAGAGGAAAGCCTGCACCTCCTGCAAAATCTCCCTTGTATGAATGCATGAACTTTGCTGTTTATGTGCCTCTGGTATTTTCTGTGTTAAGTGGGGATTGAACCTGTTCCTGAAGTTGATGGGACTCAGAGCAGCTGAAACTCAGAAGAGATGGAGAGATGATGATTGCTTTCTTCTCTGAGTTGCCTGTTTCTGAATCTTTCTGTGTGCTATCAATGCAAGGGAGTCACCTTCAGTCTTACACAATTGAAAAGGGATAAGACTGAGCCAAAGAAGTTTTCTGTGCCCTTCATCTGTTGTCAGCCTGCTTTGTCATTCCAAATTTTTATTTATTTAATATTCTGCTACTTACAAGACATTCACTTTCTGAAGCAACCAGACACAATACAACTTGGCAGCCACTGCTCTGGTATTAGGTTTGCGGTGATACTATTACACACTTCATAACGTAGGCACTGACATCTTCGCCAAAGCCTGGTAAGCAAACGGTGCACAGAAGGTCACCTTTCAGCTGCTAATTAAAATGATGCTAGTTCTTTTAACAAAGAAACACTGTGCTTTTATGTACATAGATGCATACGTGCATTTGTCTATCAATGTTATCACACATATATATGCTATATCGCACATATATCACGCATATAAATTTATCTACATATATATGTAGACATATTAAAAAAAAAAAATAGGCAATTGCCTTTCTGAATCTCCAGTAATTGACAAATAAGCCTACAGTAGATGTCAGTTTTGAACATCAAAAGTGAATCTCTGAGCTTTGGTAAATATTTCTAAGTATGTGTGACCCTAAATTATTAACAGAATAAACCTGCTCACAAAGAAAAGCAGGCTGTTTATAGTTCAGATAAAGCTTATCTGAAATTTAGCTTCACTTATTTTCTGAGATGATTCTGTATCTCTAAAAAGTTTTAAGGTAAATGTTAAATGTTTTCCTTTTTTCCTCCTAAGAAATTGAGTGCTGTGACTATCTGCTGCAACTCATGGCATGAGAGTTTGGTGTGGTTATTTCATTTGCTGTGGCTATTTCATCTTGTGTGGTGTGATATTTTTCTGGCATCTGCTGCAGGACGATTTCCACTTGCAGTGCCAATTAACTTACGTGCTTCACAAAATTAGTCTGGCAATTGAATGAGAGCCCTTTCCCAGATTGTCTCCTTTTGTTCATTTTACACAATCCCCTATGCTCAGAGTACTGTACACAGCAGTACAGATCCATCTTTCCCTGAAGATCGCTGTTGATAAAGATACCAGGTTTGTTGATAAGGATGCCAGGTTTCTTACCCAGGTTTCTGCAAATTGGTAAATGTGAAACGTTTCTTATTTTAAGTGGCTGCTGTTTGAGGTTTGCTTTTGTTTGAATGACATTCAGAGCAATGGTTTCTGATTCTTACCTTAGTTTGGGCTTGCTCTGCAGGTCTCATTTAGTCATCTGTCATGAGCTTCCTGCTAGTAGCCAGAGTCTCCAGCATGCTATGCTTCAACTTACCTGCTTATTGGCACAGATACTGCAAGCCTAGCCACTTGGGGTTTAGTGTTCTAAGGTCTAACAGTCTTCAGAATTCTAACTCTACTATGTATAAATTTCCTGTTTCTCTGGGACATAATTTACAGACTTTTCTGTGACAGGATTTGGCTAACCAAGCTCAACTACTTTGCTTGAAGCCTGAAAAATGAAAGGAGTATTCTCTTTCTTACAGAGCATGGGTGTGGTTCTTTATGTTTTGGTCTGTGGAGCATTACCTTTTGATGGGCCAACGCTCCCCATACTGAGGCAGCGAGTTCTGGAAGGAAGGTTCAGGATACCTTACTTTATGTCAGAAGGTAATGGCTTGTCTTATATTCTTGCTATGTTAAACTTTGATTAAATTCTAGAATAATCTCTGTTGCAGTACAGTGAGGGTGGTATATCTGCCCAGCAGATTGCAGTACAGCAAATTGTTTCTCATTTTGCAAAGAAACACAAGTAAAAGCCTAGGTGAGCTGTATGTCTTTGCAATTAGGCTACTTCTCCTAGGTAGGCAAACCAGCCCGTTCTTCCTGCAGATTGCAGTGTGGCTTGTCCGTAGACAAGGAGAAAATTGAAATAGAAGGTGAAGGATCTCTCATTCTACTGTGACCAGGAATATGGGGACATAGGGGGAGAGGCACATTTGTATAGCAATTAACTTTCATTTTACAAGGCCGTAAACATTTTAATCTGGGAAGAAAATATGCTGACAGCAATATCACTGTCATTTCTAGGTTGTGGATTGAGCATTTGACAGTGTCTGCTAAACAAAAGCAAAGAAGTGCACAGTGAATTCATATGCCAACTTCTTGTACTTGTGGCACTCCCAGACACAACTGACTGTTAGATCTCTGCCTTACCTAACTGCCCCATCTGTTGGGTTTCCCTCTGCCATGTGCCTCTCAGATGAGAACAAATTGGGCCATTTTTGCACAGTTTGATGGTGTCCTTCAGCTTCCATTTATTAAAGGGTCTCTAAGCCTGATTACTTCAAAAGAACTTTTCCTGAATCAAATCCCCTTTCAGTATTCTACTTTTTATGGGATTTTCTTTATTTGTTTTAAGGGAATTAAAAATAATTTTTCAGTCTGTTGTTCAGCATTCTGTGGTGCAAAACATTCTGGTCCTCCCCTTTTTCATTCTGGTGGTGTTTAGTGCATGCTGCACCTGAAAATAGCTGCTATTGTACAGCTGATCTGGTTAGCTCAGCTATTTGGTCGCTTTTAGCAACACTGCACTGCAGCAAGCCCTCAGCTTCCTGGGCACAGTCTGCAGCCTGCTCTGAGTTGTGCTGTGTTTGTGACTTTGCTGATATAAGCACGTGAACTAGATGCAAGAACCTCTGTGCAGGTAGCAGCTGTGAGTTAGGAGAGGACAAACTGAAGGTTAACCATTGTAGGGGAACATGAATAAGGAAAGGACAAGATAAGGGTTAACCAATGTATAGGAATGCAGGTAAGCAGGATGTGAGGCCAGATAACATCTCGACACTCAATTGTAAACTTGAAGAAACATGACACAACAAATGGGTCAGGATGGGATTACTTCTGTTGAAGACAATGAGCTTTCATCCCATGACCACCAGGAGACCCCCACTGCCCATGGCGCATGTGCAAGAGGAGCGACCATATGCCGGTGGGCTCTTGGAAATTTAATGAATATGTATGCAAATTCTGGGAAAATCATTGATTATGTATTAGTTTAGCCTAGATCTTTACTAAGGTTTTGCCCTACATTCTGCAAGTTAGGTGGATCTATCCCCATTGCATCCGGTGTCTGCGCAGCACTGAATAAACTGTACCTGCTTTGTAATCTTACTTGAGTTACAGAGTTTGATTCCACACGTCAGCTGTTGCTGTGATTGAGGTGCAGATGGGCTGTTTCATTTCCAGCTTTGCAGCTTCCTTTGCTGATCACATGGTGTTGCAGGGAGTGGGGAGAATTTGCCTGTTAGCAAAACATGGAAACCGAAAGAGATCAACAGGAGTAAATAGCCAGAAATCTCTCTAAACTATCCGTCATAAATATTTGAGTTGGCTGGCTCATAGCATCTTATGGTCAGCTGGAAATGCAGGACAGATTGGTAAGCTTACATTAGTTAACTTACATTGTTATACTGACTTTTTATTGCATGAGAACTGTGTTCATCTCTTGTACCCTCATCTCCCAGAACCCAACTGAGATCTATGTGATCACTCTTTTTAGTACTGTTGAATATGTAGTGGTCAGAAAACAGCAACACCCTGTTATATTCAGAATCACTGTGGCACCTAAAGCACTGGTTGTGCTTTGATCCTGGAATTAAAACAGGTAAAACTGCTCTTTGCCATTGGCTACTATTCACAGCCACAGAAGCATTTTGTGAGCATTGGGGTGAAAATCTTTAATAGTAATCAGTTTAATAATAAAGCTTACTTTTGCCAACCTCTTGTTCCATAAGCCTGGACAAGCTATTTCAGAATGCTGGAGGAAGATGCTTGTTTCCCCACACACATTTCCCAGAGGTTTTTGAAGCTTTATCAGTTAATGTTGGCACTCAGGAAGCACAAGCAGCTTCAAAATGTTACCTCGCCCCTTGTGTAGGAGCTATGTAGATGTAATGGCACTGTGCTTTAAAGAAGCTGGGTCTTTTTTTCTTCCCTCTTGTGTGACTTTTAATCTTGTTTTCAAAGATTGTTGTAGCCCTCAGGAAATGTTTTTAGTGCCGGAGTCAAGTAGAAGAGAGGCAGCTTCCTGTTGTCACGCTCTTTCGGGAGGTGTCAGGTGAAAATATGCAAACAGTAAGCAGGCTGGTAATTTGTTTTACTCCCCAACAGATTGTGAGCATCTGATTAGAAGAATGCTGGTCCTAGACCCATCCAAACGGTTAACGATTGCTCAGATTAAGGAACACAAGTGGATGCTGATAGAAGTTCCTGCCCAGAGAACTGTTCTTTATGCCCCAGGACAGGAGAACCAGCCTTCCATTGGAGAGTATAACGAACAGGTTCTCCGGCTAATGCACAGCCTTGGAATAGACCAACAGAAGACTATAGAGGTAAACCAGTCTTGAGCAGTTGTCCATGGAAGGGAGAGGGAGATCACAGAAGTACTAAGAAGTTACATGTTTCCCTCCAATTCCAACCTGTGCTTCTTACTAAATGTAAATACTAACAGACTCCTTGTGGAGTTAACACAGTCGTTTCTTTATACAGTGGTTGACGCTTTTAACCATTGTAGAGGCTGCACTTGAGTACTTCCTGCCAGAGGAGGCTTCTCTGCGTTATAGAGGCCTGGCTCCTTTTGTTTCTAGTGATTTGGGATGGCCAGTACATTCAGGAGGTCACTCATCTCAGTCACTCCTCTGTTCTCAAATTTCTGAAGGCTTGGGACTGCTCCTTAACATTAGCTATAGGTACTGCTGCACACTGGAATACTGTGAGCCTCGTGATTTACAAAGGCCCCTATACTAAAGCTGATGCTTTTGTTGAAAATATCCAAATAATTTTTGTCAGGACGTTATCTCTGATAAAAGCAGATTTTATTTGCAATTGCAATGGCGGGTGTCCCGGAAGCAGGAGCACCTCTAAGGACACAATGACAGCTTTTTGTACCTTGTTTCCTCCTTTGCCTATCCCTCTCCCCTGTTTCCCCAATGGCTGGGTGCTCCAGGTTCATAATCTTATCAAAGTTTACATTTGTTAATTGGTGCGATATCTGGTGTCAGTCAGCAGCCATCCTGTTGTTTCCAAGATGTCTCAGTGCTCTTTTTGTCGTATTGATACGGTGATTTTCTTCATAGAACCATGACACTCTGAACTCCGTGACACAAAGTCTTCTGTTAAACAAAAAGCATGGGGAGGCGGGGCTGATGCCAGGCCCTCCGATGTCTCTTCAGGTGCTTCTTTGGGCAGGGCATGACTTGTTCTCTGGTTTGATCCTCATTTAGGATATTCTCACAATGGATATGACAAAATACACATATATACACTGTATACTGAGTATGCATTCCTAGGGAAGGTTTGTGTAGAGGATAAGTGATGCAAACTATCAGAGTAAAGTAGAAAGACTCCCAAAAACAACTGTGACAGTGGAGACCATGAAATAAAAAATATCCAATTCTAATGCAGAAACAACATTTGATTCTTACACTTTGCTTAGTACTCCAATTTGAAACTTTCTCAACTCCAGAACAATGTTTGCATGCTGTAAACCCCTCTTCAGTATCTTTTTTTTTTTTCTTTTCCTGAGATGACAATTCTTGCTTCTTGGTCTCACAGAATGTAAAAAATAACCTGTATTTGACTGCACATAAACTCTTGCACTTTTCTTTTTCAGTCACTGCAGAACAAGAGTTATAACCACTTTGCTGCTATCTATTACTTGTTAGTGGAAAGACTCAAATCGCATCGAAGCAGCTTCCCTGTAGAGCAGAGATTTGATGCTCGCCAGCGCCGCCCAAGCACCATTGCTGAGCAGACAGTAGCCAAGGTGAGGTCTCTTTCTAGGCAGATGTGAAAGTTGACTGACTTCATTCTGAGTCCCAAAATGCAAACAATGGTTTAAGCTTTAAACAGGTATTCGAGTGCTTTAACCTTAGGTTCCCTTTATTCCCTCTTTTCTCTTTGTTTTGCTCTTAACATCCCTTTTGTCCTTTTGGGCAGCGCTTTTTTGGCAATACGGTTAAAGAGAAAGCTTGTGCTTCAAAGAGGAAAGCTTCCATTTTTGAGAATTTCTAAATTTTTGCTTGGAAATCAATGGTTGGAGTATTAGAGAAATACAATCTGTGCAATGCTTGGAGTATCTTTAAAGTGATCCACAAATAAGCCATTGAATTTATGGAGGGGTCTGCTGGCAAGGGGGCTAAAGCATGAACGCTCTACAGAGTGCTTTTAAACAGAGGCAGTCCAAAAAGACCTGTTGAAAATAAAATTATTTTCTCACCTGCTGTTCTCTAGATATGCTTTCTGTTTCCCTGAATTATAGAGGTACCCAAGAGAAAATAGCATTGATTTGTCAGGTTAAGAAACTAATTCATTGTGTTATTACATGGCAAATATGAGAATTACTGTCATGAGACTCTTTGTTGCTCAAGACTCAGGTATGTTCCTAAATAAGGTCACTTCTGCTGAAGTTTGTGCCGTTTTTTCTTCCTGTTATGCAGCAAAGGGATTTCTCAGCATGGTTGCAAAACCTCTGAGCATAGACAAGCACAGAGCTATTGAGACAACTAATTGATTTAAGTCTTAAGAATGCTGTGTGTATTTTATTAGCAGCGGTTGTGTGCTCCCTACATCTGGTGTCAGCCCATCCATTGCAAATGGCTGTCCACTTAGCATCCCTTCTAACTATACTGACTGTTGCAGCACAGGCTCTGCAGCTATTCAGTCTACTTCTTCCCTTGTGATTTTCTTCAGAAAGAAAGGTCATGCAGAGTTTATCATGTCATATTCCAATAATACTCAGGTATTTTTTTAACATGTTCTTTTATTTCATTAGGCTAGACACAAAAGTAGAGCTTTTAATTTCTATTAATGCAAAACTGGAAACGTGAAAGACTTGGCCTAAGATTACTCAGATTATTGTTATTTCAAGAAAATACACTCTCAAGTTTATGGCCTCATAGGTACTGTACTGCTGCTGTATGGAGCAAGTACCTGGGCCCCACTTCCAGGAGAAATTGCAACTAGTCTGCTCCTGTTTTGCTTAAGACAGCAAAACATTGTTTTTAGGTTCTGCTGAAATTAAAGCCAAACCACCTCAACTATGAAAACCCAAGTCCATGCAAAATCTGACTGACAAAGGTTAATACCAGCTGTGTTCTTAGATGGTAGATCTAAAGACAGAAAGACATGGTATTCAAAGGCAGATTATTAATTATAAGATGTATTAAAAGTAGGTGAAAAGAGATGAGCAAGGAGGAAGAGAGAACATAACAGGAGGTAGTTCATTATTGTACCATGTTCAAGTTTTCTATATTCTATAGCCACTATTCCTGCTTTTTCTCAGGACTGCAAGCAATTGTGCAGCTATCGTGAGCAACAACGTAGCTTGTTTTTACACATGATGGCACCACAGGCTCCAGTATAAGACTGCTTGTTTTATTTTGGATAGACAAGTTCTGTGTGTCCTGCATGTCAGGAAAACAGTGGCTTTCACTGGTTGTTTATCCTATTTTCCTAATTTTGCCATGCTTGCCTTCACTGATGCACACATCTCCTTTCAATAGTTCTGTTCTATTCTTTCTTATTGTTTTTCAGCAGGAATCAGTGCATGTTAGAGAAGTCATTGAAACCAGCCCTGATCCTCTTGGTAATATTTAGGGTGTTATATGTATAGAAAGGAATTATAGCATGTCATATGTAGGAGAGCACCAAAGAGTCCCACTTTCCTCGTTGCTAGTAAGTGCTCAGCTTCGATAAGTAGTTAGTGTAATGACACTTTTTCCCCCCAAGTTTAAGAATGTGATACATCAAGAATGAGGAAACGAATTCTCGAATTCCGCTTTGGAGGTGGGATGGGAATTGTTTGTTTTTAATTTGTGACTTTGTACACTGTTTTCTGTCTAAAGCTGTTCAGTTTTTGGAGTCCTTTCATTTCTTTTAGGCACAAGCTGTGGTGCCATCAGTGAACTTGTGCTCAGAAAACACGAGGCTGCTACGGTCCCCAGGACTTCCCCCCACCTCAGGAGCAGAGGTCTTTTCATTCCCTCCGTCCAACTGCCAAACAGAGACGGCATTTCTGGAAGAAGAAAGAGTCAACACACCAAAGGTACACCCTAGCTTCACCCTACTGTTGTGCCCAAATTCAGTAAGACTAGTAAAACATGGCTGCCTTTTAAATTACTGCCTTGCATCTTGTACAACTTTCTGAGGCTCAGTGGCTGCTTCTCCACGTTGGCAGCCCTTCCTACCAGTGCACTGCTCTTCCTCCAGACTAAGAGCTGGACTCTGCACTCCCTGCCTGTTCTTTATACTGAAAATCTAGAGCAATCCACTCAGCTAATCACAAAAAAATCAGACAAATGAGAACAGGAGGGTTTAATGAAATCTTCAGCTGGCAATGGAAGCTTGTGATTAAGTCATTAATAGATCTTTTAAGTGTAGTATTTTATATATCAATTTCATAACAAGCTAGTCAAAACAGTTGCATTTTTTTTAGTTTCTGTTGAATGGTAAATAGTCTGCAGGACCTCCAGTCTGTCAGAGCCTAATAGAACTTCAGCATTTCAGGTAGGTTGTAGGGCTCTCAGATGGGCCATTCCTGTAACTGGAAATCCCTGTAAAAAGTAGAACTGTTCAAAAAAAAAAAAAAAAAAAGCCTATCCCATCTAATAGGTTCTGCTTTCTTTAATCAGACTGGAAGACTGTGTGTATGTTTCCTGCACCTCCACAATTAATGGATTAAGCTGACTCAACTAATGTGATATGTCAGCTCTGCAGCCCTAGAAATGTACAGTTACAGCTCAGCTCTGAAGGGAGCCATATTCTGATGGATTTTGTCATCCAGCTTTGAGGTCTGTCACAGTACTCTGCAAGGTAGCAAAGAATAAGTGAAATGCGTGAGGTTGGCAGCATGGGTACAACACAGCAGCTTTTATGAGGATATTGCTCAGAAGAACTGTATTTGTGAAGTGTGTTATTCCTGTGAAATTTTTGTTGTTCTCTCTCCTGTTATATCACATTATAACTTTAATTTTAGCACTTCACATTTTTCCTGCTATCAGGCAGGGTTCTGATCTCAGGCTTGCCATTTTGAGGGTTTTACTACTCATTTGCTGGTTAGCTACTGAGAGCGTGGTCCTGGTTCTCGTCACTGCTTTAATTAACTCCATCTATGGGTCCTTACCGTCTGAAAAGCAAAAAGTATTTCAAAGAGATTTGGAAATTAACTTTTCAAACTTAATTTTGTATGCACCATTGCTTTTGCAGATGACATCTGGCCAGAGTAAAATCAGTAAATGGTGACTACAGTGAGGTGTTAAATCACAAATGGCTTAGGAATATTTCAGTGTCTATCTATTACATGCCATATCTGCTAAAACTTCCGAGCTCTGAGCCACATGCTGTGGTACTGCAAAGAGCTGACAGCCCATGTGCTCTCCTTTCTATTCCAGCAGTTCACTAAATATTCTTTCCAGCACTACTGCTGCCATGTCACTAGAAGGCTTTTGAGTGGGAAAGTCACAAATGGAAAGTGTGCAAGGAAATTAGGCTTAAGGATGTCAGCTACTATTTAAAATAGATGCAGCAGATGCAGAATTTTTCCATGCAAGAATCATCATTATACTGAAGCTCAAATTAGTGAAAGCATTTCTCAGTACTGTTTTAAATACTGTCCTGGAGTAACTGCAATATAGTCTGCTATTGGGACCATCTGTTAATAGCTACTATTAATGCAGTGAACTTTCTTTTCCAAATACATGTATTTTCAAAATACCAGAAAACATTGTTGAATACAATTTACCAGTCTTATGTAGCATCATCTACAGCAGTGTAGTTTTACATTAAATGAATGTGCTGTTTCATTCGTATTTTGCTCAATCTGAGCCTGCCAAAGCTTGTGCAGCGGGATAGTACTCAGAGCTTCTAGAGTATTGCAGAATGCCAACAGTATGACATGGGCCGTGGTCCTCAGCACACCAGTAATTGCATATGGAATTGGTTAAGGTACAAAAGAATTCAAGACAAAATGACTAAGAGTAATAAATACAGAAATGTAATTCTAGGAGTGTTTCAGATTGGAAAGGGCCAGTATTTCAGTTTGGGAAGCAACGCTAACTTCAAACCAGATGAAGTTGCTCGGAGATTTAACAAGCTGTGTGAATTCAAGAAGAAGGCTCCCCAGACTCACTCTGTTTATGGAACAGCAGTGCAAGTCCAATGGACTTCTGCTGGAAGGAGTACACTTACTGTATCAATCCTGAATACACTTCTGTGGCTCTGAAAGAACACCAATTAATTAAATACAAAAAGACCATTTATTTAATAGTTCTTATTTGATAACAAAAAATGAGCATTGGGAATTTGAATAAATGAGCACTGAGCAAGGGGAAGCAACAATATTGATAATTCTGTAAATATTTGTATTTGTAGCAGAGCTGGCAAAATTAGTTTGCTTCTTTGGTTTAAACAAGAAAGGCCATGGAGAACTCAGTGCTGTGGAATTGAGTATTCAGATTTAGGGAGTCAATAGCAAGGGGAATGGCATTGGTGATACCACCTGGGAGATTTGTTTTGTACAACTCTTCAGCAACTCAATGGGTTCTAGGAAAACTGCCTTCACCCTCCATGACAGGCAGAGATTTCTCATACTTTGGCATGCTGCTGTGTGCAAGTAATGGAAAGCTGTCTGTTCCATGTGGTATTTAGGTAAATGGCTGCCTGCTAGATCCCGTGCCTCCCATGATGATTCGAAAGGGATGCCAGTCACTGCCAACTAGCATGATGGAAACCTCAATCGATGAAGGAATAGAGACGGAAGGCGAGGCAGAGGATGACCCTGCGCAGGCATTTGCAGCCCTGCAGGCAGCTCGCTGTGGGAAGCGGCGTCACACCCTGGCCGAAGTCACCAACCAACTAGTGGTGGTGCCAGGCACAGGTATGGGCCTTACACACATACGCAAACACCTCAAAGCATGAGATCAGTTCCGCACAGCCCCCAAACCTGCTGAGCGGGTAGTATGAAATCAGAGCAGCAATCAAACAGTTGGCTGTGGTCATGTACCAGTAGCAATGGGTGAGGTCCTGTGAGTTTGCTTGTGCTGTTCTCACATAACCAAATGTCTCCAAGCCCTTTATCCCCTAAAGACATGCTGGAGGAGGAGGATAGGGCATGCAAAAACCCCCAGATTCTTGGGTACTGCCCAACCAGCAAGGTGACAGAGCCTTTCAGCTTAAGCTGTGATCCCATCAGAATCCCCTGCAAGAACACTGATTGCACTCTCAACAAGCCACTGAACATCACCTGTATGGTGTCTTATTGCTGCACTCATGTAAAAACCAGTAGTAAGAAACCCCAAGACATTCCAGTGCTGTACATATTATGATTACTTCTATTGTTTCATTTTCTCTAATGGAGGACATGGCAGGAATAGCTCGAGCCCATGGCATTTCCTAATTACTGCTGTACTTTCCTTCTATTTTGGCTTTTGGTTTTTGACACAGGCAAGGTCTACTCTTTGGATGAGAACTCCTCTCTGGGCAGCAGCATAGAGTCAGAGTACAACATGGGGTCAGTGCAGAGGAATGTGGGCCTGCTGGGCGATGCCCCTCCGCTGAAGGATGTGGTGCCGCTGGCAGCACCGTTCCTGGGGCTGCGGCCGACCAACCCCGCCATGCAGGCTCTTGCATCCCAGAAGCGTGAGACTCACAACCGCTCCCCTGTCAGCTTCCGGGAGGGGCGCAGAGCGTCGGACACTTCCCTCACACAAGGTAACCATGAGGCCCTAAACTTGCTGTGTTCCTACACGGCTCTGACTGCACCACAGCTGATCTTGTGCTGCTGTGCCAACCAGACATGAAGTAACTCATTTTCTGACGAGGGCTTTTGCACACCTCTTCTACAGGTATTGTAGCATTCAGACAGCACCTCCAGAATCTGGCACGAACCAAAGGAATCTTGGAGCTGAACAAAGTCCAGCTACTGTACGAGCAAATGAGATCAGAAGAAGAACCCCTTCTGCCATCAGCTGCCCCCCAGCTTCAGGACCTTGCTACCAGCTCTGCACAGGTACCACCCTTAGCATAGCTGTCCCCTCCAGGTGCACTGCTGTGGGACAGACTGGGGGGGATGAGGTGCTGTGGGGAGTCTGAGGAGAGCTGCTCATAGACGCATCTCCTTTCTCTCCTCTCTGGCTCCTGCAGAATGGAGAATGGGTACTTGCAGGTTAGCCTCTATATTCTTGGGGTGTCTGAGAATCTTGGCAGTTTTCCAAATCTGATATTTCATTATTACTTTTAATTTGAATGTTTCAGATGTAACATATCTCAATTAACATCTTTCCATGTTGGAGTTAGCCTCCACTATATATAACTTTAAGGAGTGCAAAAGCTACGTGATAAGAGCTTGATTTGTGTTGTGAAAGGCCAAATTGCTCCTGCCAGTTCCCTAACTATGTGTTTGGAATGGAACAGGTCGCAGGAAATAGGAATGTGAAATCTCTGTCAGACTCTGTGAATGAAACGGGCCAGCAGCACACATGCACTGCAAGCACCCATGCTCCAGGTCAAGCCTGCTGTTCCTTTCTGACTGCTGGAAAACTTCAGTTCTGACAACAAGTTGTAAAGTTTCCCCAAGAATTTCTTGCTTGCTATATGCATGCCAGAGTGCTCACAGTGTTCCCTCCTACCCCTGTGCTGTGCATGTCCTTCCCAAGTGCTATAGAAATCTTCTTGTGTTCAGTTCTGAAGCTGTGCAACGACAGCTGACTCAACTCTGAGCATGCTTTTGCACAGTTTGCTACCACTTTACTTTTAGTACTCCAGAGGGCAAGCAAGTCACAAAGTGTTATATATAATGTGGTTTTAGTCAGAGATGTAAGCCCTTGGCAGTTTGCAGCACAGATAGCTCAGAGCTTTGTCACGTGGGCTGCTCAGCATGCAGTGAAAAAGTGATGGGTGACACCGGGACCCAACTCCAAGAGCAGCAATGGAATCTCTGTCCAGGGGAACTCCACAAAGAAAGGGTTTAGGCAGAAAAAGATTTTTTCTGGGGATGAAGCTTTTCCTCCTTCTTTCTGCAGGAAGAAAGACCTCAGCAGCAGGAGGCTGCGGCCACTTTCCCCAGTGGTGCACATACCCCAGTGTTATCCCGACGGCAGAGCTTAGAGACACAGTACTTGCAGCACAGGCTCCAGGTACTATGCCTTCCCCACCATTCTCAGTCAGGCACTGTGTTCATGTGTCTTTGGCCTTTCAGATCCCATTATTCTTCTTGAGTCAAATGCTATCTTAGCAGGGAACAGCTGAATTTGAAATTATGCTGTATGTTTCTCCTATTGCACAATGACTCCAATTATGGGAAAATCAGACTGTATTGCTGGAATTTTCCTACTTGTTCTTTTACTGCGGAATGTTATTAAAGCTATTTGAGGTGGCTGCTGATGAATACTTGTTATCTGTGTTGCACCCTGAAAAGGGGATGCATCAGGATCTGACGAGCCTCCACCCATCTTCTGTTTCTCTTCCAAACTCCCCCTCTCCCCACACCCCCCCTTTTTTTTCCCCAGCTTCTCTTCCAGTTAGGAAGAATTTTTTCTATGGACTTATATGATACAGTCCATCATCAAAAATGTTCTTTTTCCAAGGGATAGAAGTCAGTAAGCAGTGATAGCTGTGGTTTTAGACAGCAGCTCTAGTGGCAGCTTCTGAAAATGAAGGTGGACACTTAAGCCATCATAAGGCGAGGCAATCTTCTTTCACTTGCATTCTGGACTGAACAAATACAATTTAAAACAGTGCTACCTTACTTGCAGAAACCCACCCTACTATCAAAAGTTCCAAACACTTGCCAGCTGTTCTGCAAAGAATTGCCCCGGAGTCTGGAACAGCAGTTACAGGAGCACAGGTAAGATTTCAAACTACGCGTATAAGTGACTTATCCGTACTCTCAGTAGTAATGAAAGAACTGAGACAGACTTTGTCTGATTAGGAATTCCTTGAGAAGGAAAAATTCACTTAAAAATTGTTCAGGTCAATTTTACAGAATTACAAAAAATACAAATTGCTGTGCTGCAAGTTTTGCAATTCCACTAGGGCGCAGGTAGACTGACAATGCCCACATGCCCACATGCTTTGTTTAGTGCTGGCGTGCGAAGGGGAAGCACAGCAGAAGTTACTTCTTGCGCTGTTGTGCTCATCTTTTCCCTTGCCGTCCCCACCACTCACTACACATTGCACTTTTTATGGTAGGTCAGAGCATGGCTCATACCCTTTCACCTGCTTGAGAGCTCTGCATTCATTTAGATATTTCCCACCTTGTTCCTATGACCTAGTAATCTTACTGTGAAGAAAATGAGAAGTAAACAGAGTTTTTCTTGTCAGTGAAAATTCAGAAGTGATGCTCCTTTGAAAAAGTTACTGTAGAGAAAAAAAAGGAATGAATGGATTGGAATTGTGCCTTTTTATAACTGTTATAATGTATTATGGCAGACAAGCTTTTAATTGACAAGTTAAAGAGCTGTAAGGTTTTTATGAGCTCATCATTTGGTAACTATTAAGCAAACAAAGAGGATACTAAACACGTGTCCATGTCACTAAATTTTGCAGAAGAATTGGAAAACGAGAAAGGAAAACAGCAACCTAGCTACATTCTTTATGGAACAAAAAGAATTAAGAAATAGAAGTATGAAAATACTACTTGATTTCAAGGAAGTATGTAATCTAGAATTGCTTTATAGGTCACAGACACTCCTGACAACTGATTAATCCTAATCAAGGACTTAACTGACAATACTGACAGTATTCAGAGCAGCTTGATACATTTATTCAAGACTAGGATGTCTGTGCAGAGAAATAAGCTGGGAAACAAGAGATTCCTTTTCTGAATGCTATCAGCATACGTCAATAGCGGGTTTTCTATTTGTATGTGCTTAGGGAATTGGCTGGCAAGAGACCTCCCCTTTGTCATATCACAGGAATTTTCAAAGGTAGCTGTGTAACCTGACACCGTGTTGAAAATTCTTCCAGTTTGCAAGGAGGTCAAAGCTGTGAAGTTTTGTAAAACTTCATAGTGAGGAGTGCAGTTCAGATAGAAGGAATATGGGGGAGGGAAGCTTTGTTCACTTGCCTTAGTAGCTGGAAAAGTACAACTGTTCTGTTCACAAGTTCCGCACACTAAATTTCAATAAATAAAAAAGGTTGACTAGGAATTTTCCATTTCTGCCCTTTGCTCCCTGCTGGAACTGTAGGAGTGCAAGTGTAGCAGCACTGATGCTAGTGCCTTAACACTTGAAAAGCCAAAAAATAATTGCTGTTTTTGTCCTCGATTCAGACTGCATCAGAAGAGACTCTTTCTCCAGAAGCAGTCCCAGCTGCAGGCCTATTTTAACCAGATGCAAATAGCCGAGAGTTCGTACCCAAGGTCAAGTCAAATGCCACTTTCATGCCAGGAGGAGCAGCAGCCATCAGCACAGCAGCAACCAACCCAGTTCAGCCTCCAGCAGACTCTAAGCCCTGTCATGGAGCCTTCCTCAGAACAAATACAATATGACCTCTTCCTCAGTCACTACCAGAAAGTACAGCTGGAACCACCACCGCCCTCCCTGCTCACCAGCTCATCACGATTGTCATCACCAATTCAGCTGCCGCCGCCACCACAATCCTTACAGTACTCCTATCAGACTTGTGAACTGCCTGTTGTCACCTCTTCTGAGCCAGACTACCCTGACCAGTGCCAGTATTCCATGGACCCAGCACAGCAGAGCAGTGTAGCATTGCCTGACAGCCAGGGCAGCTTGGCAGCCCAGGAGCCACAGTCAAACTACGATGCACTGACCCTCTCAGAGCTGCCCGGACTCTTTGATTGTGAGATGATGGAAACTGTAGATCCCCAGCACAGCGGCTACGTCCTGGTGAATTAATACCATGGGTGTCTAACATGAGAGTGGAAGCCAGGGTGGATGGAGAAGCATGTAAATTTTTGGCTTTGTTCCAACCCTAAAGTTTCTGATCCTTCAGTCAACAAGGGAACTAAAAATCCACCTGGCCAGAAAAAAGCTGGAGATGGCTAGAAGCATGTGGCCACCAGCTTCTCCTTTCAGTGGCTGGGGCTAGACAAACAGTTCAGCTTGGTTGCATAAAGAACCAGTTTGTGTAGAAGGAGAGGAAAAAAAAAAAAAAAAAAAATATATATATATATATATAAAGGAAGTGGCCCCTTCCAAAAACTTTGATAGTCTGGCAGTGTTCACCTAGCATTTGCTAGGAGAAAAGAGAACGAATGCATATTGCATTCTACTTCTTGGCAATAAAAGCAATAGTTTTCACTGAAATTCAGACTTAATTTGGGTCTGAGCTGATAGCAAGTAGCATACTGAGCTGAAGCAGTAGTGAGGTGGATCCAAAGGAAAGTTGCACTTCGGCATCCAGTTTCTGGTTAAGCTACTGATCTGCGACTGCTCTGTCGTAAGTCTAAGAGAGCACCAGGAACCTCAGGCAGCCTCTGCTTCCTCCTGCTAGCAAATAAACAGTTATTTCCCAAGCCTGCCAAGGAATTCTTAATTGGTCACTAAGGGAAGCTTCTGGATATTTGTTAAGTAATGTACTGACTTGATAAAAGGACACTTGGAACTGATCCAGGGCACAGTGTTTTCTAGAGGCTTTGGGTGGAGCTGAGAATACTGAAAGGTCAAGGATTAGTAGCAGAGGGACAGGCTAAGAAGGACAGCAAGAGCTGCAGCCAGTGGCATTCAGAGATCTACCTAGGTGATGTTGGAAATCACCCCTTGCTGCAGACAGACTGTTGTGGAGAGTTGTGTCTTGGAGAAGATCTATCTGACCTTCTACGGCATTTTAGAAACAAACAGTGTTTTGAATTTGCAGTATGTGTTGCTGGTGGTTTATTGAGCTTTGTATATATGGACAATTATTTACAGTTTTAGAACTTAATGAGCTTAAAAAAAAAAAAAAAAAAAACCCTGTGAAGTGATAGTGCTGTGCCTTTTTTCAGTTCTTTATCAGACTGTATGCTTTTTTTTTCTGAAGAAATAGACAATACCCCATCTACATCCTTGCTACTGCCAAAGTCCCTTCAGAGCACACGTTCCACTATGTGGAATGTAACGTTGAACTTTGTTAGCATTTTGATTGTCTCAGTATATACAATATACTGAAAGTATTACAGCAATATTGAGCATCAAGAACTGTTACGTACTACTTCAACAAATACAAAATTCAACAAGCAGTTGTGTCCCCAGAACTTCCAGTCAGGAGATGTTAGTTGTAGGAGGATTGTTTAGGAATCTGCACTAAGTTTAGATCACTAATTTGGAGCTCATCTCAGGTCTTCAAATGTTGTGGGTTATTGTCTATCTTTCTCCTGTAGATGAAGCTTGTAGCCAGTTTCAGCCCTTTTCTGAGCAAACTTTAAGCACAGTTGCAGATTCATTAAAGCACAAATGTTGGAGAAACTGTGCTGATGGCACATGTAGAGACCACTGTTTACTGGAAAATTTCTCTACAATATAAGTTTAAAGTTAAATAAAAGATTTTGACACTACAACTAAAGAGAGTGGCTTCAGGACATGTAGTCACTTAAAATGGATAGGCAAATGTTTCTAGTGTTTTTACATACTGCAGCAAAGCACAGGCTTGGAGAGATAGCAGGAGGAAGAAAAGAAAAAAAAAGTACTTGTGATTGGTTGGGTCCTCAGTGTGTGTCAGACCATAGATCCTACTGAACTTCAACAAGGAGTTCTCAAAACTACTCTCTTTCACCAGAAAGGTGAATTATCAGCCAGCATTTACAGCAATAAGACCACGCTTAAATGTGGAATAGACTTCAGTCACTGCACTGTAGGCTCTGTGAAGGAGGGAAGAGTTTAACAACTGACAGAAAGTACCTTGTTTTCTGTGTATGACAATTAGAGATGTCATCACTGTTGATACAGAGCCTGCTCTGATACAGCTCCAATTCAGTCGTAAGTGCTCACTTCTACCTCTGATATCAGAACAATTCTCAAGGCAAAAGCAAAAGAAAGTTTAAGGAACAGCAATCACATCTACACACTACTTACTTTTTTGATAAAAGAGAGCTGGAAAACTGTTGTTTAGATAGCTGAGATAGACACATTTCTTTTCAAAGGGAATTCACACAATTAAAGCTTTTTCTGACAGTGCAAATAGCTGCAGAACATAGAAACCTCAGTGCCCCCCTGAAGTGACTGACAAAAGGACAGGAAAGAGATGAAAACCACCGCAGCATAACACACCAGGCGTATCATTATGGCAGAAGAGAAAAGGAGGCTGTGTAGTCAATGAATATAAAGATGTTATAATTATGAAATAAACAAGAGAGTTTGGCAAAGCAGATTATAACAAAAACAGAATAGATAGAAAGCTTACCCTCAATCTGGGCTCACTACAAAATTCCAGAGGAGGGATCTCCAGAAGAGATCCTCCCCCACTGGTAGCCAGCTCTTCAATGGGTCTAGGAGAGGTGCAGCCAGGCTCCACCCCTTCCAGCAGCACAGGTGGATTGAATTGCCTTCACCTGTGCTCCATGACTGACTCATGGCTCACCTCAGGTGATCAATCAGAGGTTCAGGCCGTGACTCAGCAGTTCCCATACAGAGGCAAAGAAGTCCTTTCCTTTCATTCCTTTTCTATCCTGCAGTTCTAAGATCAGACAAGTGCTTGAGGAACCATGCAGCAAAAACTGTCACTGGGACATACTCAGCTGTGGCAACAGGCCCAGTTTTGCATCAGGAGCTAGCTTACTGCCAAGCCTATAACCACTTTCCTCCCTGTGCAGCTCCATTATACCATACATTTTGGAAGTCAGTGATAACTCAAGAGCAGAATTATGTGATTCATTTAACAAAATGTGCCAATGAGTCTAAGCTCAGCTGAGCTTTGCAGTACTGCTAAGGGGAAAGCTATGGAGTTTTTGAACATAGTTCAGACTGTTACCCTCAATCACCACCCTATTTACTATTTCATGCAATTTCCTTAAGTCAGTTAGAATAAAAGGCTTCTAATGCCTTTTAATACAGCAGAGTATCCACTGGACACCACTTTGTAGTCATGCTACTTCAAAGTAGTTCCTTTGTTCAAATCTCTTACGTCTAACATTAGAGGACAGCATACACTACTGTTAAGAGTAATTATTAGCTTTATTATCTTGTATTACAGGCTCCTTTGAAGAGACTTTGGTGCGATGTATATGGGGTAAAAATTTCATATGGAGAAAAGTGCAATATGTGTGTGTGTGGTACGTTCTTTAATGTATTTTTTTAAGGAGTTAGAGGGTTTAGTCTCTGCTTTGGGATAAATGCACTAGTATTGTGAGCTCCAGTTTGGTAAGTTCATCTGTAGTATTTACATGCAACTGATATGCTGGACTCTGTGAAGCAATTACAGTGTATTGATACAAAATAAAGAATACGTACATTTCATTTTCAAATATGTAGTGAGCTACCATGGCTTCTGCTGCTCAGTGTTCTTTAGCAGCCTCTTTACATATTATGTTGCAGTTATCCCTGACACACCACACTTCAAATCACAAAAAAAAAAAAAAAAAAAAAAAAAAAAAGCAACACACCTACTGCAAAGGATGGATTCTCTAGAATTATTTGGCTTCCTACTGTTTTAACACACATGGAGTTGTTGATACTACAGACTCTGCAAGGCAAGTCGAGAAAGCATTCTAACAGTTTCACAAAGGAAAAAAAACTGCATGTCTTTATTATCTTTAGTTCTGGAGCAGGACTCCAAAACTGGCAAGGCCAGCGGTATATCAATTTGACATCGAAAGAGGAAAGTTATTCTCAAAAAAATCACTACTACTTTTGTCATTGCTCCCCATCAGTCAGGATAAGTTATCCAAGAGGTTATGCAAAAGCAGTTTAATGTAGATCATACAATTCTAATTCCTAGGAATGCTGTGTGAATGTTTCATGAAGAATAAAGAATCAGGCAGTCGATGGGACACTGAAGTCTTTTCCAGAGACCGGAAAGATTGATGCCTCAAGATTCTTACAGTACTTCGTACTTTCACTGGCAGAAGACTTGTTCAAAATGACTTTAAGGTGAAATGACAAAACAAGGGAAAGTTGGCAGAAGTTTCCCTTCTGTGGAATCAGAAGCAAGATTTGCACTTGGCCCAAAATTGTCCAATTAATTTGAAAACTCCTATTTCCTGCTCTTCCCTTTCTCTGCACTGACAGTAAGACTGAACTGGCCCATTAAAGACCTAAGAAAAGAAGCCCCACTCTGAGAATTCAACAAGTTACAACAATTTACAAATTACATCCCATTCACTGCATTCCTTGAAACCTTTTACCCTGAGCCGGTATAAAAGGCTTACTTTGAGCCTAAGACAACCTAGGACCTTCCTCTTACAGGAGAAGCTTCATCTTTCTACAACTATAAGCAGCAACAATGAAAAATTAAGATTATTCCTCTGCTTGAAGCCCTACACCACTGTCCTGTTGAGGATGAAAAACTAAAGAATGAACCTCAGCAGTTCTCTTATAATTTAAGCTGAAAGCTTATGTCTCCAGAAAAATTGGGCAACTCCAAAGAGAGACTCTGTGGGAAAGCACAGTGCCATGCTCCAAGGAGAGGGAGAGTTGGAAACACGATCAGGTAAGGAAAGCATTATATCTCAGCATCTTCCACAGAGCTGCAACAACAGTTATATTACAGGATAGGTCACAGAAGTGCACATGTGAAAATATCCCAAGATTTCTTTCCTTGTCATCTCTAACATAACTCCTGTGACTTCAAGGGTTTCTTCAGTAGCAAGAAATGTGTGATGCTTAGAGACCAAAAGAAAAATCAGCATAAAATCCAGCAAGTTCATCTGGCCTACCACACTGAAACTCTGCTGTCCCTATTGCATTTGCTCAGTGACCTCAGCTACAACTGGCTATAAACAGCTGCACCTCAATACAGCACTTTGGGTGACACACTGTAACACAAAACACTCAGCAACAGATCTAGGAGGTCAGTACTGTTAAAAACTGAACAACTGACTGATCACGTTCCACATTCCTGTGAATCAGAAGTGTCAAGAAGCCTCAAGACTGTGAGCTCAGACTACAAGAAATGCTTATGTGCCATAAGCATACACCAAGCTCAACAGGACCAATGCATCTGCTGTGTCCGCTTTCCCACGTACTCTGCTCCTCTGCTGCCTCTTGATGCAGTTTGATGTGATGACCCCAGCAAAAGGGATGCAGGTGCTTTGCCTGCATGCCCTGCTTACCCCTGACCATCAGTTGGTGACAGGAAGGTGCTCAAGCTGCACAGCCTGGAGCTGTTCATCCTCTAGCAACACTGCAGATAGGCTACATATGGGACAGGAAGAAAGGAACACTTCTTCCCATACATATTTGCTATTAGCAGTCAAAGCAAAACTAGAGAAGGTCACACCTCAAAGGGTTGCCTCAGCTAACCTTACAAGCTGTCTGGAAGACACTCTCACCCTGAAATGTAAAGGTTAAGCCCTTCTTACCCCAGTGGAGATGGGAAGAAGCCCTCCCCTCTGGACTAAGTTCCAGCCTGCAGGCAGGGTCACATCTTTTAAGCCCCTTGCATAGTGTTCCCTACTGACTGCAGGCCAGCAGTGCATTCCATTTTGTGCAGCGTGGCTGAGGTTATGCAGATGTATCAGCAGGCAGGGCTGTCATGGGAACACAGCCACACTGGGCAGCAGCTGACTGTCAGCACCATATGTGCATGGGGCAAAAGCAGACGCATACACATCACTTCTGCTATATTGGCTTTCGCAATCTGAATTGCAAGGAAACTTAGTCTAAATTTGGAGCGTGATTTCTGTGAGTGCAAGCTTCATCCTCTGCTTACTTTCCACCAGTGTCCTGAACACATCCTATACAAGCCTCGGAAAACTCCATCCCCAAGTCCTTCAGTACAGAACAAAGCAAAGTAGCAGTGAGGGATGTTAGCTGAAGGAAGAGTGGAGAGAAAGCCTAGGGAAGAACTGGTGCAGAACGTGCTGGAGTCCTCAGAAGCAGAGAGTTGAAACAAAGAGGCACAGCAGGCCAATAAGCAGATTTCCCCAGTTTTGAAGCGGGGAATGCAAGGTGAGATGGGATTTGCCAGTGTATTTCGGTATTGCTACACAGGGTGATTGAATGCAATGCTATGTGACAAGCAGGAAGCAGAACAAAATTAGTATCTGTGTATTTGCTAATGAGGGAGTACAGTATAACTGCTTAATCACTGGTAAGAATTCCCTACACAAGAAAATGAGCTTCAAAACAGGATCAATTATTTTTCCCCCATAAATCAGGGTGTGTAACTGGCCAATGCCACACAGATTCTATAGTCCTGACCCCAGTGAGGACAACACAGAGGGAACATTGCCAAGCGGGTCAGCCTGGCAGAGAGGGCTGTCCACTGGGACAACAAAAGGCTGACACCTCTCCTGACTCAGCTTATTTTCTGACAAGAATGTCAGACTGCATGTCTGAAAGGGAGGTGATATGTCAGGAAACTCACATTAAATATGATGAAAAGAAATTACTAATTGGGTAAATCTTACAGAGAATCAGCTGTGAATTAGGAACAGAAAACCTCAAAGGAATAAGAATTGGGAAGCAGAACAGAGAAATGAGGCAGATTCAGCCACTAGAGGAGCAGCCAACAGGGGCACAAAGAGCAAATAGCATTGGCATGTGTTTTAGCACAGCAGAGACATTGGGAACAAGGCAGAAACGAAAAGGAAGACTGATGAACTGATACCGAAACACTTTACCTGGTATCTGGAAGAAGATAAAAGCTAAACAATAACATGGGACAGCACAGAAATGAGTGTCAGGAAACTAGATCCAAAGCTGAGAAGTGCACACAAAGACACAGAGCAGCCCCCTCCCCTCACTGCCAACAGCCATGCATGCTCACACCAGGTACATAGACAAAGCTGACCCCGGCAAGGAACACAGCCCCAGGAGCCACACAGCCCACCAGCATGGAGTGTGGGAAGCAGAGGACTACTGTGTGTTTGAAATGACACTCCAAAAACATCTTTAACAGGCCTACCTCAGACCGAAGCATACAACAATGGCACCACATGACAATACTGGAGTGCCTAAAATACTCTGGCTGAGCCCAACCTGCAAAATCACACCACTAGACACCTATTTGCCTTTGTTCTTAGACGAGCATTGGTATTAGGAAAGGACGTGTAGAGAAAACAAGACTCAAAAACTAGACCTCATCTTTCCAGCTCATTTCAGGAATTACTGTCTACCCATTTTTTCAGGTCTTTCCAGCAAGGATCCTGTAGTCGAACAGATCCCAAACAGTATCCCTGCCGGGAAAAATCCATTTCCTATATAGCTGCCACTCAGCATTACGAAAGGGTATGAAAATGTTTGTTTTTATAAGAGATCTCTGTACTCAGAAAGATACTTTAAT